AGTGTATTCTCCTTGGTATTTTTATATCAATTAAGGATTGAATATGAAACATTTGTATCATTAGCAGGAGAAATTCCAACGGCTCAGTTCCAGGTTTAGGATTTTCTACTCTCCACGCAAGAGGACATTTAAAGAAATAAATAAATGTGGATTTCGTGGTAAAGCTGACATGAAGATACTGATTTAACTTTTAAGAGCTGTTCCTACCGAGGCTCTGACAAGATATGCCGTGGCCTCTTGAACTGTGCCCTTGAACTTGATGCCATGCCCTCCCGAACTCGATAAATATAACTGCCTACACATGAGGTGCACACATTTTTAGCACACACATGGCATGTGTAACCACACACCAATTTGCTCAGTGGAGGGGGGGGTGTGTGTGTGTGACATTTCCTTGCTCACATTCTGTTGGTGGTAGTCAGTCCTATTTTGATAACACAAAGTTAAAAACCTGGAGGAACGAAATTCCTTAACGGTCCTTCAAAATAATACCTTAATATATATCTTCCTATTTAACTAGTTTGTTCTTAATAGAAATTTTGAAGGAAATGATATCTAAAGGCGTCGTAACGTGGTAATTTTACACCCACCAGAATCCCTTCAATAAATCACTGGTAACTTTTTAATCCATGTCCAGTATGTTTTTAAAAGTCTGAGAAACTAAACGTACACTCAAAAAGCAAAAATAGCAGAACAGTCTAGGCTGGAGGAAACCTCTGGAGATATTCCTTCCAACTTCCAGTTGAAAGCAGAGCCTTAGAGGAGGTTATCCAGGGCTCTGTCAAGGCAGATCCTGAACAGGGACTTGCAAGGGAGATCCCAGTCCTCCTCTGGACAAACCTCTCCAATGTTTAATTCTTCTCCTAGTGAAGAACTTCATCCCTGTTCCAGACAGCATTTCACCAAAAGGAATGTAGAACACTATCTATTTAAGAGAAACCTGATATCATTAGCACTGCCTTCTTCACAAATCTGAGTAATAAACATCCCCTTTGACCTCTTTGAGGTGAAAATGGCCAAATTCTGGCAGTGGTTGTTTTTTCTACTGATATTTTTACCTTACACTCAACCCAAAGGAAAAGTGTCATTTCTTTTTTTCCCCACAGACTTCTACTGCCCTCTGTAGGATTATTTTAAATAAAATATCAGGAACAAAACAGAATAAAAAAAAAAAAATAAAGTGTGCAAGCCTGTCACATTACTGCATCACATCATAAACGAAGTGGAGATGGCATATTACATTGATATGTCCTATGGCTTCATAATTTCATTGATTATATAAACTGGGTCCAAGTAATAAGCAGAACATTTCCTTACAACGTTACCAGACTTTTGAGACTGCGAAATGCAAACTGAGGGCCTGCAGAACAGTGAAGATATGAGGGTGTTCAGAGTTAGTCAAAAATACCCACCATTTGGCCAAGCTGGAGGCTGCTCTCAAAGCACATCTCAAAAGATGTATGTAAGCAAAGCACTGAAATGAATTAATGAGAAAAATCTAGGGTATCAAAGTCCTTACTGAAGCTGTATGTTTCAATATATTTAAGTTTCATTCTTGATACTACCTAAGACACAGTTCTGCTCCACCTTGCTCTGGTCAAAAAAAAAAAAAATATATATTTATGCAATCTAAATTGCAGATGCAAATAAAATATTTGCTATATTTTGTTTGGTGATCATATTAGACAATTAGAAGGACATGGTAATGTGGAACCTCAAAATAACTAGTAACTAATAATTACACAAAGGCACAGAAATGCAATGCTCATCCGCCTCTTTATACTCCTTAGAGATGTTTTTGATAATTTAAATGAGTTCAGGACACCAAAGTAAACCAAATGTACACTTAGAAATGCATGAAGTAAATACAGGGTATTCTAACACAAGAATGGACTAAGTAACTGAGAATTCAGAATTGAATTAAAAAGCTCCAGTTGTATGAAGGGATTAGGAAGATATTAAAAAAAAAAAAAAAATCACAAGCCTAAGTTGCTTTTTCCCCTGCAATCCGAAAATGCAATTAAAACTTTAATTTCATTTTTCTTCAGGAAAAGCCTGTAACACCAGTTACACACTTAAAAATACCCTGTCTAGAACGTTACTGGAATTATAAATGGCTCATTACTGTGCCAATAAATAAAAAGCCATACCATAGCATGTTACCACTGAGGTGAGGTGAGGAAAAAGGGCACTGAAATTCCCTATAAGATGGGAATTTTTCATCTAATCTGAGGAGCTAACTCCAAAAAGCAAGTTAAGGCTGTCAGGCCCTAACCTCAAAGAAGGTGCCCATAGCACCGAAGTAGGTGTCTAACTCATCCTCACTAGAGAACACTTCTCTCTTTTTGATATGACTTTAATCCTTTCCCCAAGATTTCTAGAAAAATCAGTGGTCTCAGCAGTAGCTGATTCACAGAATCTTTCAAAAAATGTAGGTTATTTATTTCCCAGTAGCTAGCTGTTCTTCCATGCTCCATTTGCTGACCTTTTCGTTTCTGATGCATTCTCTCTCAATTAATGCACTTTCGTTGCCACAAGACACAGACGATTGACTAACAAGACAATCCGCGCTTGGAGGGAAAGGCCACTGATTAATAAAAGCTAAAAACTACAACCTACTTTGTAAGAAATGACTCAGACACAAGGCACTGAAGGCCACCTTCTCTCGCAAAAGTGACCAATCGTGCCAAAAGAGGCATTTCCACCCTCAAAAACATTCAACAGAGCTGGGCACTGGGTAAAGAGAAGAAAACTTCCCAAGACTGGCACATAACACAGTCATTTAAGTCCCATTTTCTCAGGCAAAATACAGGATATGGGTCAGAAAATCTGAACTGTCTTAGTACCTTGACAATAAACTTTATCTGGCAGTGTTACAATTACCTTCAAATAAGCCAAAAATTTGTCAGACCAACTGCTTTTGTTTCTCATGGATGCAGCCCAACTTTGTGTCACGATTATGTTTTTAAGAAAAGTTCAAGTTCAACTTTACATAGGTCCTCATTTTTAATTTTTTTTTTCTAAAAAGACCATAATTTATGACTGCAAATTTTGACCAGAGCAAAATTCCGAGTATTTAATGCAATTTATGTAGATTGTCGGCCTAAAAACCAGCCTTGTTTCTTTCAGTTATCTGTAATATCCATAGGAAGCAGCTCATCCCATATTCTTCTTCTTCAGCAACCAGTTTATCTTTCTCAAGAGATGAATTACAGTGAGGAATGAGGGTTCCCAGAACTGCCTGTCTAAAGCAGTTGATATTTTAGTTACTCAGTTGACAAATTATCGTTGTTTCTCTGTATGCATGAGGACTTGTGTTTTTTTCTTTTCTTTTTTTTTTTTTTTTAAAGACTAAAACCAGTACTTTACTTTCCTTATTTAGTCATCTGGGTAAAAAGCCAAAATAGACCCAAGCTCTCTCTTCCATGCAGCATAACATCACATCATCCAGATGTAGAAGGGACCATCCAACCCACGCTTCAGGACAAGACAAAGCCCACACCACATCCCCCCAACCCAGCAGTTATGGGACACGAGCAGAAGAGGAGAGCATTGACACAAGGAGACTGGGGAGATACTACACAGGAAAACAAGGTTTCCTCAGTAACCTACCTTGTAACCTATCTTGTTCTTTTAACTGAAAGCCAGGCCTAATTCTCATTTAGAGATGACTCTTGTGTGCTGATGTTACAGTTAAATCACTACTGTTCACACAGTGTATCTTCTAAAAGAGTAAAGCCTGGATTTACCAAGGTAGAACATTGCTAATTTATCAGCATATTATGCTAATGCATTATCTTGTGATATAATTATAATAGTTCTGTTATAGAGTGGGGAATTTAATGTTTTCCTTTTACGAAATCCGATCAGGGTGCTGCAGAACATCCCTGGAAGATGCTGAGGACCCTCCACTGCCATCATCGCAAGCTGAGGTTTTGAGGTAACACTCCAAAATCTACAGACATGCAGTCCTAGGACAAGAGTTTGTAGAGAAGGAAGAACACTGTTTCCAGGAAAGAATCGAGCATGAGAACCACAGGCAAGCTCAACCAGACCAGTCCTCTTCCCTCCAGCAAAATCCTCATTACAGTTATTAGAGAACTTTTGCACAGGCAGCAAGGAGACTTTGAGCCTCAAGGTTGCTGCTGTCAAGTCACTGCAAGGAGATTGTCCTGAAATCCAGTGTTGATCCGTCCTCACCCGAGAAATGATTTTAGGGATACGGAATCAGCCGCCAGCCTGAGCCAGCCTGGATCAGACAGGAGCGACTCGCTCAGTTCTCACCAGCCACATCCCCTCAGCCCCGCTGCTGAATGCTGCATTACAGAGCCCGGAGCTACAGACTCCAGCTGATGAGTGCTTATCAGATCACGAAACTACTGAATGGGACACAAAGTCAGGAAACGTCACTCAAGAAAGCTCTGCTTCGGACACGGCGCGGCACCGAGCGTTCCCGGTGCGCTGGCACAGTCATTTCACTGCAACATTTATGAAATATAACACCTTCCTGCCTTCAAACACAGCGCTGGACGATTCTTGAAATTAGATTTAAGGGATCTTCCACGATAGTGAAGGATATGAAAGCAAACGGAACTATTTATCCCATAAAAACATGGAAGAAATCCTAAAGTCCACCATTTTTCATTCTTGTCCAAACTACTAATCAAAATGTCCCATTTTATGATTAATTCACTCCCCCTTATCTGTGCTTGAAGCAAAATGAAAAAAAACATGGCTCACCAGTGCCAGGGTTGGTTTTTTTTAAGTCATTTTTTGGATGCACCTTCAGGACAGCGAGTCACAACTGCAGTTATGTTAAAGGAGGACTAAAGCTTTTTCAAGAAAAGCCAGCTGGTTCTTGGCTTGCAGATGCCATGTTTACGACACACAGCTTTCAGATACAACACACAACTTCTGGAAGATTAATGGAAAACTGAAATTCCCCCAAACGAAGCCACTACAGAGTAAAACCTGAGGAAGCCAAAACCTCCAGTGCTTACCTTTGTCACTGCTGCTTGTTGGGGTTGGAGGAGGAAGTCCAGGCTTAGATTTGTCGTAGTTGTTAAAGCTCTGGCTGCGTCGGTTGTTGGCACTAATAGAACCACGAGCTTTGGCCTCACTGCCAGCAGTGGACACCCTCGTGGTGGGACCTGGAAGTCTGATGAAAGAATTACAGCATGATTAAATACACTTAAAAACAGCACTCTGGGAAAGAAACTATGGGATACCATGCACAAGCTGAAAATAAAAGGGTCAATAGTGCAAGTATACACTTATAAGGGTATTTCTACTTCCATAAGAACAGAATCAAAGATACATCTTAGATGAAAAGTGTATGCCAAACAAGCTACAGTCTGAACTGGTTTACATCGTAAAAAAAAAACAACCCTGAGCCAAAATTAATGGTCACTTGCCATAAATCTTGTGAGTCAGAAACAGCTACAGGTAAATTCAGTGGAGCAATACCACTGGTACAAGGCTAAAACTAAGTGAGGCACTACTGTTCTTAAACCAGACTGCTGGACATCTCATCATATGCTGCACACGTTTTGGAAATACTGATGAAATGGAATCTGGTTGCCTTTTCCCTTATAGAGAAGCGCATCACATCTCTACTCTGAAAACTATAAAACTCAGCAGCCAAGCCCAGCAAAAGTTGAACTTTTAGTTTAATTATCTGAGCCTATAAAAAAAAAAAATCACACATAGCTAAAGTTCCTCCTCTTAGAGCAACCACATTACCAGTGAGCTGGTATAAGCCTCTGGTTTAACCTGGGGATCTCTCTCTTCCAGTATTTTCTTACCATAGCCTGTGTTAACCAGATTTAGCTGATTAACTAGAAAAAAAAAAAAAAAAGTAGTTGGGATTCTGGAGTAAGTAGACAAGCTTTCATGTTTTTCAGGGCAAAAGGGAGGGGGGAGACTTTTCTAAAAAAGCCCAACAGAATTAGGAAAGCCACTGACATCAAACCTGGGAACACTATGCGTGCTTGAGTCCTTCAAAGACAACGTTCATACATGAAGTTCTCACGCTTGTACTGTATTCTGTGCACTAACAAATACATATTTATACACACCAAAGAGATGAAATATTAAAAAGTTAAAGATCTGGTAGTTGCTCAAAATGCACACTGAGGACTTAGTGAAACAGCTCGTGGCTTTGAAGAGCAAGGGCATCACATTAAAGACTAAAAGATAGAACCAGTTCACATCAGCTACAGCAGCACTGGAAGGGACCACTCTTTGCCTTCTTTGTATTTTCTGTGTGGTAGAATCTTTGTATAAAACACTAAAATCTCAATATTTAAATAATTTGTGTCAACAACAAGGTAAAAGGAAGAAGTCCCAGTTGTCAGAGAGAATAGAGATGCAACCCACCAAATCACCATTGTGCCTCAGAGAAGGAAGAGAAGCCAGGAAGGAACCTGGCAGGGCTTCCTAAATAACTTCACTTCCCCAAGACCAGTGAAAGAAATAGAAAATATCAAAAGAAACATGAAGAAAAAGAGCAAAAATGTCAGCAGCTGCATGCACATGCTTTCAAAGCTCAAAAGAGCGTAAGACATAAGGGCATCATTCAAATACAAACCCAGAAATTAATTTACAAACTCAAACCACCACAGATCTGGCATAGCACATCATGGTTCTGAGGTTGACTTCGCTGAAACCTTTCAGAAGAGCATCTCAATTAATCCAGCCTCTTTCAACGCTGGGGGGTGCTAGAAAGTTGTCCACACTCATCACTGCAGACATGAGAACACCCCAGAGATGCTTCATCTGCAGTAGAGGAGACTACAGGGCAAGCAGCAGAGGGCAACCAGTGACAAACACTGTTCTTTAAAACTTGAAAGTCAGCAAGACAAGGAAGTTCATTAAAAGTTTATTTTGTTTGACAGGTTTCCTACACAGCAGCTTAAAGTTACCCCCCTCGAGTTTTGAAACGCTGAGTATGGGCCAACCACCCCAGGAGAGGGGAGTTCTCCAGCAAAGGTTGGCAGGAGGGAGGGGACAATGTTCCCATACTGATGGATAAGAAAAGGCTCCCCCCACACAAGTTTTGCAAATCTGTCACATTTGAAATTAAATAAAGCTACTCAAACCATGTGACTACTTGAGAAGCGACAAGTTTTCCATCCCAGTCAGTATTGTCACTGCCAGTAAAAACACACCAAGAACAAAAAATCTCTGTGCTAAAAGCGCCCTTGAAGATACCCTTTGTCTTAAGACTTTTTTTTTTCCCCTCTGTAGAACTGACTGGTTTTAAGCCCCTGCTTTTGGTATTAATTTTTTGGTATTAATTCACAGCAGTGCCTGTGAAATCTAAGGGGGGGAAAAACCAGGTTTTGGGAGACGTTTCCAGGTTCTTGCTGTTAGAGACAAGGAACTGAGGTTAGAGAACACTCTCCTTAACTACTCCTCAGCACCTCTGATGGGCAAATATGAACTGTCAATCCATAATTATGATCAAGGGAGAGCATGAAAAGGAAACAAGGAACTTTTTAACAGGGGTTATTCTGCAGAGCTTCGCTGTCATCATAAAAGAAATAAGATGCCGGAAATAAATCCAAATTTTACAGCAGAAATAGCAATCTAGACAAACTGAATAAAGGTCATAAGTTATAGTTCACAAACTTAGCAAAAAGGGCACCAATGTAAAACTATGTTCTAGTGGAACATTTAAACATATCATAGTAGTAAAATAAACATGATTAATAACACAGCAACCCTTATGATCACTGAGATGAGATGGTCAGATGAGTTGGCATGCAAGTCATGCTGGGACCCAGGAAAAAGCTACTGTCCTCACTAGCTGAGACCTGATGCAGCTCAGGTGGGGGTTGGAACCAGGTGATCTTTAAGGTCACTTCCAACCCCAAAACATTCTATGATTCCGTGATTTCAATAACGCAGAACAAAGTATAATTAGTACAGTGGGGCAAGAACTCCCAGAACCATGTTTTGTTCTCAAAAGCAGAAGCTCGTAAGAACAAGAAAATGAAATTATTGTCTTGCGGGCCCAAACGCATTCCACACCCCACCAAAAAAAAAAAAAAAAAAAAAAAAAAAAAAAAAAAAAAAAAAAAAAAAAAAAAAAAAAAAAAAAAAAAAAAAAAAAAAAAAAAAAAAAAAAAAAAAAAAAAAAAAAAAAAAAAAAAAAAAAAAAAAAAAAAAAAAAAAAAAAAAAAAAAAAAAAAAAAAAAAAAAAAAAGAGAGAGAGAGAGAAAAAAATTAAACCCATCTAAAACTTTCACATTTCAGCTGTTTGTAAACACCTAGTCACAAAACTGTTTTCAACAGGAACCCTAAACATGCATCCAGAAATGTTGCAAAAGGATTATTCATGCTTTGCAGAAGATGAAGAAATGCTAACCTAGAAGACCTTTTCTGACCAAGAGTGAATCGGATGATTTTGCTTTGGGATGAGTCCCTGGGAGATGCACTGTGACAGGAAAGAAAAAGCGGAAGATAACAGTGAACAAAGAAAATTCTTTTTTTTTAAGCCACTGAACTTAGTAACCAGTTTTAGGGAGGAAAGAGCTTTTATGAATTTTCACAGAAATAAAAGCCTTCTGGCCCAAGTGCGACTTCAGGTCAAAACTCCTACAATTCGAAATTAAGTAATTTTTACAGAGTAATGAACGTGCAAATCTGCATGCAACCCCCAACTTTATTCCTCTTTTCCTTCTCAATCCTTTATTATACGTATTTCCTGCAGAATCTCAGCACTTTGGGATATACCGTGAAAACAGGACATTTAAGAACTTTGGGATATATGTTTTTGAATAATTTGAAACGCAGTCTGATCCACACAACAGACTGAAAGTATCAAAGTGATGCTCAAATGGTCCCATGCATCTCTGCATGCTTTTGACGGAAAAGCTGCAGAAATATGTTCGAACAAATCTTTGTATTATGCTAATTATTTCCTGTACAAGCTTATACATGCTGTAGCAAGATTGCGTTTTTCAATTACACAAAGCTACTGCCTGAGCCCAAATGAGCATAATTAGTGGAGAAAGACATAGAAGCAAAACCCAAATAAGCTCTGAGTAGTCTCAGTTGGAAGGCTCCAGTTAAACTGTTCATATCCCTCACGAAGCAGCAGCTAAGCCAGCGTTCACCTCAGTGTGTGTTAACACAAACACACCTTAATTTGAGATATGCAAAAACCAGAAAAAGCCTTTATGCTTCATCAGTTGTGCAAATATGGCTTCTGCTTTTAATTCTGCCCACTCATCCCCACTAAAGCCTCGCTGTCTCAGCAGTGGAAGGGTCAGACCAGCAGAAGGCTCTACAGGCATTCACTGTGGTACAGCCTCATAAACTGTTTTTATTCTAAACTGGACAGAGCACTCCCAGCATTAAAGACATTCAGGAAACAAAGACCCCTTCTATTCATCTGTACTCTGATCTGGGAGCGCCAACAAACACCAATTATGAAAATTATTTTTCATGTAAAGCCAGCAGCATATTCTTTTTGACCAAGCAGCCTAGATTTGAGTTTGATTGCCACCAGGTGTTACGAGCTTTATTTCTTTTACCACTGTCAGAGCCTTCCACTTCTTAGTGGGGACTGAAACTCTTGTAATCTGAGAACTGAAGTCGGTTTTCATAAGCCTAAAAAAGATGTTCTGTAAGGGCAACAACATGCAAAGCTTTGTGAGTAGAAAGAAGCAAAAGAAACAGTGAGAGAAACATCCTTTTAAAACACTGTGTGGGTCTAGCAGGTATGTAACACCCATTGGGGCTGCAGATTTCCAACACTGAGAAACATATTTAAACACATCTGTTTTGGCTTCCGAAGGCATGAATTCCTACTCAGCATTCCATTTCCAACACACTTTATTCCAGAGAAGGACTAAATGAAAGGAGTTTCTTTGGCTTTTCAAGACCTTTAATGAGAAGCAAATTAAAAAAAAAAAAAAAAAAAAAAAAAAGAGAAAGAGAAAGGTAAACAATGAAAAACAAACAAACAAACAACTCAAAGGAAACTTCCCCACCTGGACTGCATTTCTGGTTGTGCTTTGAACTGGTGCTGCGCAGCTTGCGGGGGCTGTTGGCACGGAGTGTGGAGCGGAGCTGGAACCCCGACCTGGCACTGGGATGGAGGCCCTGCTTGCTGGGATGCTGGGGGAGCCTGCTGGGACGGATGGTGGTGTGGCTGCTGCTGCTGTTGCTTGTACCGGGATAAACTGAAGAAGAGGCCCAGGATGGCCTTTAGATTCCCATTCCTGATTTCTGCAAGGCAACGATCAGAAGTCACTCGTCAGCCACCGGTGATTTTTTTCTCTCTGACAGTACAGCGGGTCAGCCACTGCACCCCCAGAACTCTGTCTGAACCAAGTTCCTTTGGGATATCCTTCAGGACAAGTTTCTTTCTGCACATCTAATTGGCATTACAGTTGATTACCAGTGAGCACCAACGACAAATAAATAACTAATTTCTTCCCTGCGGTGACTGAGTGATAACTCACATTTCTGCTAGAGTCTGTGTTAATGCCAGTCTGCTTCAAAAGCAAGTTCCTTCAAATCTTTCCTTTAAACTAAAGTAACTAAAAATACCCAAAACAGAACCCCCACAAAAACAAGTGCATTAATGACAGCACACTGTGAATGATTTCCCAGTCCTAAATTTGCACAAAGCAGAAAAACTATTTCGTTCTCACACAGCACTGTATAATTTCTGGAATATCATACTAATGATTTCCACTAAGAAAGTCTGATGCAAGTTTTGCACTAGAAAATATGACTACTGGGTGAAATAGCTGTATTAAAATAGATAATTGCCAGCTTGATACTATCACAGGCTGATAAGGAATATATACCCAACACACCCAAAGAGAGCTTGACATTGAATGCATAAAGTTTTAAATTCCTAAATGCCATCCTGTTCTTTATACAGTATCAAATGCAAAAATGTAAAAGCAAACAGAAATAAAAAGACGAAGAGGTTTATCAGACCATGCAGTTGATAAATAATAGGCAAGAGTGCAAACCGTCTTGCAGACAACCTTAATGTGCCGTGCTTTAATTATTTAGGAGGTTTAATTTCCTTAATTCAAAAAGTGAATTAAGAAAGGTACATCAAACAGCTGAACTTCTGCCTGTGCTATACAGACCACTTGAACAAATCCAGCTTACTGCTGCCCTATGCTTTTGTATCCCTCTGTGTGGGTTAGTGCAAGATGGGAAGAAAAGGACACGTGGCAAGACATAAAGGCAAGAACCAGAATTTTGATTTCTGCTCCCAGTTCCGGTTGAAGGGCTGCTCTGAGTTTGTGATGGGCTCTGCTCTATCCTCTACTCCCTCTCCCAGCCACATTTCTGCTCATGTTGCTCATCTTTGCTGTACAAACCAGCTCCTGCTCTTAAACACTTTAGCCAGCAAAACTCAGGCTCACAGCTTAAAACTGTTGCTTTCCTTCTTGTACCAGCTTCCATCTCCTTGTCTATCTGCACCTCAATCTACTTTTTCTTCCTAACCACTAACAGAATTTACTTCCACTCTTCAATTTGTCTTGGCCCATGTCCTCAGAGAATCCCAGACCTTCCCCAAGTGGCCCCATCACCACACCCAGACCCAGGATATTCCTTTCCTCTCATTCTTTTTGACTCAATTTCCTACCCATTTTTTCCTCCCTGCAGTCTGGCCCCTCCACCAGTGCCCTCTCCCATCACTGCCTCCTCATTCCCTAGTTTAAAGGATTATCATTCCCACTTTTGTTGCACTCTTGTGTTTTCTTGGCCAGTTTTAGTCTCTCCCTGAACAGTAGGGCCCCAATTAATCCTGCCTTTTTCCCCTTCTCCCAGTACACTCCTGCTCCCATGCAGTGCCACGAACAAACACAACCTTCTCCCACCGCCATCAGCATCAGGCAGGTTCCTTCTCTAATCTGCAGGTTCTCTTCAGTAATCTGTGTTTAGCTAGGGAGGACAGGGGTGGAAGGAGACAATAAGGTAAAACAGACACAAAAGACAGCAGAGCAGGCTAAAAAGGATCTCCTTATCTCCAGCAAAGAACTCAAATTACTCATGGGAATTGTAAGGAAAGTAGCATTTAATCGCAGGTTGAAGCATAACTAAACAGACCCAGAGGCACTGGGAAGCTTAACTGCACAAATACAGGCCAGAAGATAAAAGAAATTACCATGGGCCTGCTTATGTACATTTAGCAAAGCTATAAGCAACTGGAAACTGATTTCCATGTGAAATGACAGGCAGTTATAACAATAACCCACCTAAAATCTGTGGCTTTCTATGGCTGCCCGTCTTCTGTTGAATTTATCAGAAGAGCAACCTGCTTCTGACTTTTTTCCTCGGGTGACCAAAAAATGATAATAAAAAAGAAAAACTCCTTTAATGAGTTAAAGCAGTCGCTTTCCCTCTGGATTTGAAGCAAAATATCTCAAACCAGACTTTCAGAGGTAGCCCTGTTTCTCTTATCTCTAAGACTGAGGTAATTCTCCTGGCAGTTCACCCCTGTACTTTGTACAAAAAAGAGTATTTCAAAGAGTACTTCAGCCTCCCTGCACTCTGCCCATCAGCACAGTCTCAACTGCTTCCTGCTTCAAGTCCCCCCCAGTCCATGGTCAGCTCCAATATTCCTATTGACTTAGATAAGGACAAGGATGTGACCCATCCATTTTAAATGTGGGGCCAAAAATTACTGTCTTGGATATTGGAAACAAACACTCTGGATATTTGAGAGGAAACTGGAACTTGGTTTTCACAGGAACTCCCACAGATCTACTCTTTGGAAATCTTCACCCTGGAATATCTCTGTTGTTTGCTTGTTTCCTGTACAGCTGGAATTTCACCCCTGTAACCCAGGGGAGAACACCTCTGCTATGAAGAGAGGGGACTGGGGAGTGTACATGGAAATCCATTTACCTACAGAAGCGTGAATGTCATTTCAGAGGCAAAAAGCTTGAACTGTGGTTGTTCCAAAATCTAGAAAGGCTTTTTCTTTCATCGTTTTATGGTCCCGTGATTTGTGCAGCTGATTATTATCCAGCTAATCTGCAACCCAGAAGAGGTGCAGATGCTATCTGGGACATCAGTTTGAGTTTCTGCTCCACATTTATGTCCTCCATAATCTTCAAAATCTTGGCAGCAAGGAAATATTGTGTGAAGGAGAGCAAGCTTCGCTGGGCAGCTGCAATTCCAGGAGTCTAAAACCTCGCTGAGTGTGGAGACAATTTTAAGAGCGTGGGTGTGGAGAGACAGTTCAAAGCAATGGACAATAAAAAAATTGCAGCAAGAAGAGAAATTAATTGTCTCCATAGTTTTCTTTACAAAAGGGGATCTTAGGATCTAAAAATCTTTGACATGGGAATGCATTTTGCCCCCACGTTGCTGGGGAAGGGGACCTGCTTCTAGCATAATAACGTGGTCATCATCAGTGATTGCAGACCCTTAGGATCTCCACTGCATAAATCCATAAAAATGGACTATGTCTGAGTGGTACACATATATCAAAGCCGGACTTTTCAATAGTGGAAGAATATGACACATGAAATTCCAAATTATTTCAACATCTAGGAGTCGTCCAAATTCCAGCTTTGACTCATTAACCTCCCTGCACACTAAAACTGTACTATTGAAAAATACATGTTCTTAAGCAACCCAGGAGACTTCAATAATTATTCCTGTTTGGAAGCAGTCACAGCCTTTTCTCTCCTCCTAGATGAGGATCTGCCAGTGAAGTAAATAAAGTTATTTGCATTGACCTAGCAGGCCTTGGCAGCTTGCACAGAAACACTGGCTCATTTGGTAATGGTACTCCTCATTTTAAGTGATCCTGTGTTCTTCAGCACAGTTCAGGAATGAGTAAAAAAAAAAAGAAATTTACTTTATTTTTGCACTTGAAGTCTTTTATTTTCCCTCCCCTCTCTAGTTGTCACTCTCTTCCTTCAGTGTTAGTGGTGGAGCCAGTAAATGCTCTCATTTGTGTGTTGGCAGCGAACATTACAGGTCCCTTCTCAGCTTCCGTGTGATTTAATACACTAATTCCTAGACAGTGTGAAAGAAAGGAAGAAATACCAAATGAGGGAAGCCATGGGACAACATGGATCCTGCTGGGTCCGACTTGAGGCTTGGCAGGAGCGCCAGGGACATTAATCATGCTGTCCCTTCCCCAGCGTGAGCAACGCTACGCTGCCAACTTCGTACACCCAGACAGTTTTCCTGTCAACTGCTCTGCTGTTTCACTTGGATTTTGCCTTGTATCAAGCCAGGTAAATAATGTGAAACTTATTGTGCCTTTACAACATTTACGCAATCACGTCAAGGTCAAAACTGGCTTTTACAACAGACCCTGTGGCATTTTCTTTTTCATCGTTTCCTGGTGAATAAACTCTCTGCTGTTTGAAATTTTAGCTCGTGCTTCCTTTTCTTGACATGAGAATCCTCCTGATTATAACTGAGCAATCAAGGCATTTATTGCTGTTCTCAGGCAGAGCTTAGTAGAGCTTCTCTTCGGAGGAAAATACTTGTTGTTGCTGTTCTAGACCAGCCTAAGGATACACCCAACACTCAGCCTCCTCCTTCCATTAGTTGTGGTATATTCAGGTTAGAACAACGTGTACTAAACATGTGCTATTCTCCTTCCCACACTCACAAACCACCTCAAAGTTAGTGACACTGCATTTCAAAAACACGTTTTAGAGTGACTTGTAAGATGAGATAGGAAAGTTACTTTGGGGGACAGCAAGGAATGTTTTAAGCTACTTGCTTAACTGTCAACATGTAATTTTAAACTCTAATTTTTAATGATCTTTTTTTTTAAATAGTAGCTTTAATTTTCTGGTAATTTTATATTTTTTTTCTATTTTTATGGTTTTTTTACGTGTAGGTATGTACGTAAAAGCTGTGTACACGATGGGTTTCACCATCGGGGACATCCACAGTGGTTATCTAGCAAACATTCCATTAACATCACTATTCATCAGCAAGGAAAAGCGTGTTTCAGCCAACACTTCAAACCGTGCCCATAAGGAAAGTTTTGGATTTGTGACTAAAGCAGCGCTGACAAGGCACCAGCTCTGGCTGTTGCTGAGTGGTGCATGCACAGTGTCAGGGCTTCCCCTTCATCCAACACTGCCCTTCCTTGGGACGTGGACTAGAGGTGGGCAAGAGGCTGGAAGGGGGCACAGCCAGGACAGCTGACACCCAAGGGACATCCCATGCCACGTGACATCACATTCAGACACAAACACTGAGGTAGGTGAGGTGGTGGGAGGGTGTTGAGGGTGTTTGTTTCCTGGCAGGGCGTCTGTCTGCTCGTGGGAGATGGTGAGTGATCGCCTCAGCATCGCTTGTTTTGCGTTTTTCCTCCCCTTCCCCTCGGTCACGAGACTGCCTTTATTTTGATCCACGTGTTTTGTCACTTGTGCTCTTCCTGTCCTCTCCCCATCCTGCCAGGACTGAGTCAGCAGCCATGTGGTGCTCAGCTGCCAGCCCAGCACACCTACACATCCTTTCCTGCCTCCCTCACTTGAGCTGTAGGATTCCTTCAGAGTTAAAAAAAACCCATGGCTTTTAAACATACAGGCACTCCAGTTAAGGGCACACAAGTGCATGATTTGATTCTCCTCCTCCTCCAAACTGAGCTCAGGAAGAGACTCAGTCATCAAATGTAACTTGAAATCTCACCTGATGCCACACGTTTGCTCTGTGAAGCACTGATGTCATATAATATATTCAGCTACTGAACCCAGTTGCTTTTCCAGCACATTTAAACTAAAAAATACAAGTGAAATCTGGTGCTGAGGATGACAGAAATCTGTTTGATCTCTTAATAAGATAATAGCAAAACAGCTTCTGAGTCAGTAGGTATCGTTCACTGGCATAAAGAAATATAGCAAATTGAGTCATGTTTGGGTTTCAAAAAAATTCTGGTGCTCTTCAAAAGCAGAATGAATAATCAGAAGTCAAAATCTCATCTTTTTTGCTTTGGTTCAAAACACTTGAATTTTATTGTTTCGTGCATTTGGAAGCAAATTTTCTTAAAAAAATAACCTTTCTTTAAAAAAAAAGAAGAAAGTTGTTCGGGTAAGAATAATTCAAGAGAAAGGAAATAACTTTCTTTCTCAACAGGCAAGCAACTGCCAGCAGTTCACTTATATCTGTAAAACATACACTGGTCAGTATTATAGAAGTGAGATAAGAAATTTCTGGTTTTCAACAGAAAGAAACAAAAAAGTGACTGGATTCTAATTTGGTCTCATTGATTATTTTTACAAGTCAGCTGTGTAGAGATTAGAATATTAGAATTTTACTTACCTCTCATGCTGACATGGGGGGAAAAAAGCAGCAAAGACTGTCAAAAATTAAATTTACACTTCACGCTGTGGTTGCATTTACAAGTAGTAACTGAGGTTCCTTATTTAAAATCAAATTTTAAACAACCAATGCACTCACCTTCTGCTGACAGCCCCTGGATGTTAATCCCCTTAGCAGCCAAGAAACTCAGGCATGCATCTATGTTTTCAATCTGTTCAAGAACAAACAAACAAACAGAAAAAGGAAACACAAAAAGAAAGTGCATTGTAATGATTATTTACTTTCATCCCCCCCCACACTTGAGCACAGTTAGTCTTTGCATCCTGTAGAAAGTCCCTCTGCTCATTATTTGGAAACCACGGTAGAAAACCCCCTAAAGTTACTGAGGTCCTAAATGGATTATTACATTGATTGTAAATTGATTATTCCACGGGGCAGGGCTTTCTGTTATCTGCACTTGCACGAAGCAGGTTAGTTAATGCTCGACCCCACAACAGGCGATCACTACACATCCTACTAGAGGGTCAAGGGTGTTTTGTGCCAGGATTCTTAACCTACAGTAAGTATAACAAACATGGAACTGAAAATAAACACGGAGGCCACATTTGTTTGAGAGGGCAGATTGCCACTTGCCCCCAAGTTGACAGCTGGCAAAAGTTTCCAGCCACACAAACAGTTGAATATTAAAGCTGTAACTGGAAGCCCCAGCTGGAATCCAGAAAACGTTCACTCACGACATTCCCTGCGTGTCAGAAATGACAGGGAACGCTGAGGGCACATCCTGCCCCTCAGAGAGAGGCTACAATGGGAATATTGTGCACGGAATAAAACCAATTTTGACCAGGTAGGGACCTTATATACAGACTGGAATCAAATCCTACCTAAGAAAGTGAACTCCAGAGAGGCTGGATGACTCAGGCATGTTTTCCACCGTATCTCAACATCACAACAGAGATCTTGCAGTAACCTCCCACTTTAATTTCCCACCAAGTTCCCACTGAAGCTCTTCTGTCATAAACAGAAGATGCAGAGAGATGCCAGCCCCCACCCCAGACCAAAACGCTCCCACGCAAAAGCCTAAGCTTTGGCGCCTTGAGGGGCTGCAAGGAACAACATTTTAGGAAATGTGATGTTTCTTGTGTGGTTTTTTATTTAACCACGGTAATCAGCAAGTGATAAAACAGAGCCTCTGTCTCTGAATATCTCTCAAGCGCTAATTTATTAATTCCCAAAACACTGCAACCAAACGCTGCATCCACAATTTGGATAAAGGAAGGAGACAGACACCAAAGCCCACACTTGCTCTTGCATAACTACCTTTATTCTGTGCAGTGTGGAGACATCAAAAGGAAATGTGAAAAATCCAGTTGCCCCGTGAGTCCCGAGGTTTTTCGCTCTCAAAAAACCCACATAAGTGAAGGTTGGGTGGCATTTTAGAGCCTGAGCTCCCAGCACCTGACCTGAGCTTCCCATCCTCCTCAAAGTAATAAAAAAGTAGAAGGGAAGTTGCCAGAAAACCTTCCATGCCTACCTTCTCTTAAGGTACTTTCATTTATTGCCAGAACAATAAAATATTTTTTTATATTACGGGGTGTGTCTGTGTGTGTGTGGGGGGAAGTTATTGGCATTGCTGCACTGGGATTTCAACAATTATAAACACCAATACACTCAAAACTTTTATCAACCTCATTACACTTTGAGATACACTAAAAAGTACACAAAGTACTTTGAGTAAATGATACGCTGCAAAAACCAGGGCGACACCAAAGAACGCGTTTCCTGTAATGCTCGGAGCAGGGTGCAGTTCAAAGGTTCATTTATCCACAGTTCAGTATAATCTGTCAATCTCAACCCATTTCCTTCCTCAGCACTCAACAACCCTTTCAAGTTTTAAACGTGGCTCTTTTATTGAGGTGATTTGGGACTTTGCTGGAAAACCCAAGTTCACCTTTCCAAGAATAAACGTCACATAAAAGAATCAAACCATTTCTGCTACCTGCACTTGACAAGCTGCATCATTCCAAGAACACTTCCAGTCTGCCACAGCTGTGAGTAGATGGCTCCTCTCCCAGTAAGCAGGTTAGTGAGTAAAGATAAGCAATATTTTATCTCCACTCCTGATTTGCAGCAGCTCTTTCAGTCCTGCTCTGCTTGCTTCTCTTCCCAGGTCCCTCATCTTAGCTCAAACTTCCCTCTAGGACTGAGTGAGCACAGGATTAAAATTTACATTTGGGTAGTGAGTTCTTCATCCACATCCTCATTCTTGGTTCTACACAGCAATCCTTGCTGACCTCCTAATCCCATAGTAGATCTTATCCAGATTCAAAGAGCCCCCTTTAAAATCATTCTAGTTCCTGGGACAAACCCCCAATTTTTACTGAGAATTTGAGCCACTGGATTAAGATACAGCACCCCCAGACTGATGGATGACTCCCCATCACAGGTCTGTATTTGGACCACAGATTGAGCAACCTGGACCTCACTGTTGTATAAAATTTCAGACAGGCTACTTTGACACTCCAGTCGTAATGTTCAGCTAAAAGCTGTGAGAAACAGGGGCTCTTGCTGCTGGACTGGTATGGAAAAGGAGTGAGGGAAAAAAAAACCAGAGCAACACAAAATGTAGAAAAAAATATACAAGGCATAGAAATAAAAAATCTGTGACTTGCACTACAGTCAAGAAATTACAAGAATCAAAATATTATAGAAGCAGGAAAATACCCTAATTTCAGGGTAACTTAAAATCAGATGTGATGACATAAAGTGGGAATAAGAGGGGTGTGCAAAAGCAAACCCTTTATGTTTTGAAAGTAAAGAACTACAATAAGATTCTATAGGGATGTACAGCACTGCACATACAAGGAATTCACTAAGAGAATAAAATAAAAGAGGATATAAACGTATCAGTGGCTCCAATGCTAACATTTACACAGTGTATGTGATATTAGCAACATTACGGGGCAGCAATGGCAGAAATGTGAGCAATTAGCTGATTTTGAAAGAAAGAAATAGAGCTCAAAAAGGAAAACAGAAAGGGAATTTGAGGAAATCCCAGAAGAATGTGAAACACTGGATGCTCACCCACTGTGTATTTCAGATACTTCAAGGGTAGGTTCGTGGCTTCTCTGGATGCCCTATCCCTGGAAGTGTCCAAGGCCAGGTTGGACCAGGCTTGGAGCAACCTGAGCTAGTGGAAGGTGTCCCTGCCCATGGCAGGGGAGTGGAACAAGATGATCTTTCAGATCCCTTACAACCCAAATCATTCTAGGATTCTATGACTCTAAGCCAAAACCTAATGACCTGCATCATGGTGGCTTCCAACACAAAGAACAGTTGCCTCCTTACAATTGCAGCATTCAGCAGCAAATCATCACCAAGACTCCATGGGCCCTTTTTTGGCCAAGTCCACATACTGCTTAAATGCTCTAAGCAGATGTGAGAAGACTGGATTTGCCAAAGGGGAGTGGATATTTTCTCCTTCACTGTGAGCTGCAATTGTTCTTTTGGCTGACAATTCTGATGTCTCATTTGCTTTGTCAGCGAGATTTTACACAGCAGAAGCAAAGCAGGAAAGATGGCAGTTGGATGCTCTCATTTTCTGCCTATCCAAAACTGGAAAGCTGTGCAAAAGAAGCAGGAAAACCAAGGACAGCCATGCCCAGTGATTATCTCGCTTGGAAACATTACCAGGAGTCTCCAAAAC